GTAAAATGTTTTCACTGCACCTCTGCTGACAACGCTTTATTGCAATATCCTTGCTCCTACGCCCGTTGATCAACCAGAAAGATGTCCCTCAATGTACATTGCTTAAATCCCTACATCCTTGAAAAACTCTTACCCCTCAGAAGAGGCCGCCTTCTTAATTTATTGTATTTAAAGTTTACTAAAAATCAGGATACTACGTTTTTGCTGGTTACGCTTCTAGCCTTTGCCCCGTGAAGTTCAACTGCACGACGCTTCCTACATTCGACGACACAATCCCGCCTTTGCAGTTTTTCGGGTCGTCTTGTGTGTAGCCAGTTAATACACGTTACTCGGAGTTATCTCCTGCATTCATATCCTCAGTGTATTGTGTGCCTTTTCCGCGGTCCGATTATCAGGCCTGAGAAGGAGCGATGGCGATAATTTTATGGGTTCACGGCGGTATAGTTCTTGTCCAGTATACCCTACCCTTAGGTCTTAACTATTGTCAATTTGGGCTTAGGCGAGGGTGCACTGTCAAGCTCATACGTGTTAATAAAGAAAGGGCTGTACCAGATCTAGCTCAGATGTTTCTTCGTCCGCCGATATTGAGATGTGAGAGGACTGGGTCTAGTAACATAGTGAAACCCATGATAGTTAAGATCCCTGGCATTCTATGCGGGCTCCTAACTGGCAAGGGCCCAGAGAGGAAGCCACAGTCATATAACTCGCCAGGGGTCTGGAGCCCCAGCCGGATCACTTGTCACTTAACGCCTGGAAAGTGAGGGTGAAAGCCCATCGGAAGTAAGCATTTAGAATAAGCAAAATGTAGAGGACCAGGGGAACTGAGCACGTGGATAGACCGAAATTTCCGAGTGGCGACAAAAGCAGACGTTGGGACAAGCTATTAGGTAGGTACCATGTACCCAATAAGCCGAAACATCCAAAGAACATTGAGGCTCTACAAAAACTGGCGTCGCGAGCAGGACAATGGACAAAAGCAGGCATACGGCAGGACCAGGTACTATGGTGCATAATGATACGTGGGGTGTAGACGAACGCGAGTGGCCAGTAAGAAGATGCACATTCGCACAGAAATAGATACAGTGAAGGTCATATAGGAAAGTTGAATGGGACAAAAAGGCGTCGATATATCGCTAAGATAGAGTTGGCATAGACAGGTAAGGGAAAAATTGTACACTAATACTAAACTTCATCCAAATGGAACGCGAAATAAAACATTCAAAAAGAAAACGTAGACAAGATGCGATTCCTCAAAGAGGCTCAAGTTAGAAACGACAGGCTAAGACTAAGCTCGATCTAATTGTATTCAGAAGAGACAAAGTAAAGGATACCAATTTTAATTGATGAGGTTAACGCTTTCTGTGCATTTGAACAGCATTATTACGCCGCCAACAGGCATGACGAGAACCTCCAATTGTCTGATGATATTTGTGGCCCTTTCCAAGTCCGCGGGATTTTTTGGATGCGGATGTCAAGCCCCGCATTTCCCTGTGTTTTTGACGCGCCTGACAGATCCAATTGACGTGCGGATCACGGCGAATAGCCTTATGGAAGGGGTCAATGCAGATGACTTCAAAGAACTTGAAAGTAGAATCCTCACCGACCCAATAGGAGTTGAGGACGCGTAAAGAGCCACATTTTCGTCCGACACGATCCTGAATTAAAGTAAGTATTTAAAAGAAACATGCCTCGGCGATGGCCTGTATCGATCGCTGGTTTTTCAGCTGATTCACACCTTCGTTGGTAGGCTTACCATAAGTGGCGCCCTTCGGGACAGGCCGCTTACGGTTACCTCGCCTCACTCTAGCTCGATAAATGACAAAACCTTGTTTTGCTTTATAGCCAAGTCGCCGCGCCTTGTCTGGTCTAGTCGGGCGGCTCACGCGGACTATCTTGTTGGACTGCCTAAATTCCCAATTCCGTAATCTCAATATATAACGCATAACATCAGACTGCTTATGACGGTACAACTCTTGCATGAATTTGTAGGCACCCATCGTAGAGGGTAATAATTACGGACGGGGAAAGCCCGTGGTAGGATTCAAGAAGTCGGCCAAAGGTTAGAAAACAAACAACTAGGATTTCCTATTTGTCTCTATAAGAATTTATAAATGTATTTCCAAATATTATTTAGCACTTTAAAATGATTAATATTGCTTACAAATAAATTAGCACACCTTATCATTATAATAAGAAATCATAGTAAAGACCCCGCTCACTATAAACGTCGTTGATCTTCCTGGGTTTTCCTATTGATGCATTTTCCATCTTAAAGTGTAATTCTATCGAGTATGCCATCGTAGGTACAGGGAGAATGTAAAATTGATAAAACCAACTATATGCTGATAATATAGTGTATCAAAGCATTTATCTTTCACATTCAACGCGTATTAACTATGCCTAACTTTGCCGAGGGTCCAGACTCCGAGGTACTCCTAGTCCTTAGACTTATTTTAGATTGATAACATCGGGTCAGACCTAGAAGCGGATCTTAACGAAATAAATGTTGATAGTGACTTTACATCTGATAAATTTTCGATTAAAAGCTACGAAACCCATTTAAGCAACGCGTACAGTGACAAAAAGTTAACGCTTGATTTCGAGGCAGTAAACAAGACAGGCAGGAATATTTTTATTCGGAGTGCTTTTTTAACCAATGTTTCAAGCCAATTATCCAATGCACAGCACAAGGTTGATGCAGGCGTGCCATCGTGTCTTGTAAGGCTTGAAAAAATTTCTTTAATTATGATGCTATTGCTCTATTAAATAATATCCTTATTTCAGTCATTTAAGAAACATTTGTTGGTTGGAACTTCAAGGGGATATATTTTTATCTTTGGTGAGTTTTTCTACTTTCCTGTATGCTTTCCAAACCCTCTACTATTGCATGTCTAATTATGAAAAGTAGGATGTCTCTTGAATTTTTGTTATTGAGTTTAGAGACAAGTCTTGTCTCTTTGACGAGTTTTAATATGGTGCTACGAATGGCGAGACTCACTGACGATGCCGTTAAAACGTCTGGGAATGTACCACGTCCACGGTCCTAT